AAGGCAAGATTAATACAAGTGAAATGGAAATAATTTTTTCCTCATTTTAAATGTCAACAACGATATCCCAAAAACATTCTGCCCAGTTTCTTGCTTGGAATAACACTGTCCTTTGTCAGATGAATTGGAGCCGCTATGGTGACCTTGCTAGACGCTCGCCTGTCGATCAGAAGGTCATGTGTTCAAATCCAAACAATGCTGGACTTTTTTTATTTTTCAAAAAAGATCTCAGCTCTCACGTCGACCCAGATTCAATTTCGTACAGGGTAAAGTCATGGGAAGTAAATGTGGCCTGCACGATATTGACTACATTACACATCGAGTGCCTATTGGTCCATAAAATATAGATTTAGCCCTATATGCAGAATACGCTTGAAGGTGTGAACGAAAATCCTATTTTGGAGGTTAATATAATTGGAACTGTACCATGATAGCAGGAGCTCTGACATATAGAAAACTGGGAGTGGGGAGCCTCAGCTCTCTTCCAAATTGACCGGGGGAGGGGCTCTAGCTTGAGGGACACACGTCTTGCTTAAGTGCCCAATAATAATAATGTAAGTAATGCAAGTAAAATATCTTTAGTGCTCCAGTAGCGCATCGGGTGAAATAATGCTAAAACAAGAAAGTGGAGCCATATAGTACAGTAACGACACTATTTGTTGTTTGCATCTTTCGGTTTTTCCAGTCGATAATGTTCATTTGTGCTATAGGAAGGCCAGTTCATAGCGACCCGCCTCACGGAACAAAGCATAGGCAGGACTGTACAGAACACCTGCTGCACATGCAGTATGATTCTCTTTGGCCTACATTGCTAGCCCTAAAGGAACTGTAATACCAATACGTTTGGACCAAAGCATGTTACAAGGGATCTAAAGAGTGTGCTGTGTTATGTGTGACCGCCTGTCGGAGCTTGTCTCCGAGACCAGGTGTCAACAAAGCTAAGGGCCTGGTCTGTTGTGCCACAACAATACGTTAATAGGCTGCATTTCCTTATCAAATGACAACTATAGTGCTGTCCAAAATGCACTCTTCCGCTCAAAGCCGTTGATACAAGTAGGATGCCATGTTTAAACGATAATATACACTTCTTATTTTTTTTAGCATGTCGAGCCCTTGAGGTTCATTGCTGAAGATATCACCCGCCTCCATTTATCTTTCTGGGTGACCTTCTCTTTCTAGTTAGTGATATCAAGCCTTTATAGGTCTGTCTGAATATTTTCACTTCCTCGTCTTCTCGGTCTGCAACCCTTCAGCTACCGTGTACACAGTTTTTACCTCTCTGTGATCCGACGTTCTCTCAGTATGCCTCAGACATTTCACTTTCTTAGCCCTCTTGATGAGAGTGATGATGTCATACACTGTTAATAAAAATAGAATGGGAGGGGGAAGAAAAAAGAATGACAAAATGGGAACGCTATCATAATTGTTATTTTGCACTGTGAAATCGAAATACCACTGTTTCGTGACTATGAACACAGTTCATAGTTGCAATTAAACATCTGCTAATTTGAGTTCTTTTCACGTTTATTGATATAGGAACTACCGAGACGTGTCCCTGTAAACTGGCATTAGAAAATGCTGAGCGAGTGTTTCAACACCGTATGCTGCCAACAGAGACGCCATCTGGCCGGTTTTAACCTCAATGGAGACAAAGTTCTATGGCACACGGAGAGATATGGACTGCACAATTGCTTTCATAAAAGCTACCGACATTGTGATATGAATTTTCTGACAGAAGGATCGAAGAATAAGAAGAAAAAAATCTGACAAAATTGTCAGAATAGCATGGCAGTGACACACATATCATTGACACTTTATATTAGGAAAAAGTGAAATGATTACCCCCTTCCCCCCCCCCCCCCCCTCTCTTGAAAAAAAAAAAAAATTTAAATATTCTCATTTCTTAACCTCTCCGTTACGTTCCTTAACCACTTCGTTGCATTCCTTAACCTTTTCGTCACATTCCTTAACCTTTTCGTTGCATTTAATAATCTTTTCCTTACATTTCTTAACCTCTTTGTTAAATTTCCCACCTTCTTCGTTATATCTCTTCTTTTACGGTTGATCCCTTGTACTTAAAGCTTATTAACATGAAGTATTCACAGTTTGAATGAGACAACAATGAAAAATAAAGACTGGCACTGAAAGAATTAAATGGTAGTATCAGCATTGATAAGCTGAGCTTACCTTGACATGTGTTTGTGCTGGGGTTGAGAATGTATCCTCTCCTACAAGGGTGGGGTGTTCTAGGGCACTGCTCACATGGACGGCCCCAAGCGGCTCCGATTGTTGAGCAACACAGAGTTTTCGTGCAGACCACTCCAGTGAGCTGTCCTCTACAGATCCCATCACTTACCTGGGTGAAGCACGGCCCGGTTCGGAAGTCTGCAAGAGAAGTGAAGTGAAGTAAATTAAAGGACCCTTTTCCACGGGAATGTTGGGTGCATAGGACTGGGCCTACATGTTATAGACCAAACGGCACTTGGTGGGTGATGTGGTCAGCATCAAGCACGTCGCTTTTACTTCCCAGGACTGTACCTGATACCTACTCAAGGCTGGGAGCCAAGGTCATTTTTGAACAAAAAGTCTACGTACCCCGTCAGCACCAGAAGCCACCAACTTCCGAACCGCAGGCGACTGTCTAACCGCTAGAGGGCATTTAGTGATAGCACTTTATTTATAGAGCAATCGGCACTTGGTGGGCGGTGTAGGCAATATCACACCGGCCGCCTTTACTTTCTAAGATTTTACCTGGCACCCATTTAAGGCTGGATCGACCCAGTGGCCAAGGTTGTTTTTTTAAAGAAAAGTTCGGTTGTGTTCGGACCTGAACCCACGACCTATGGATCTACAGACGAGCGACTAGCTGCTACACCACAGCGGCTACCCTGAAAAAAATGCATTCATATTTAATAGCTCTCCGGGTACGATGGCTCTTATCTCTACCTCCTTGTGTGCCTTCCGGGGCCCCACGGCGAAGGAACGGGGGCGGTTGGGGAGATGGAAGATGGTGGGGGGGGGGGAGGTAGAGTAGACCCACTTCCTCCCTTACAAACATGTCGTAGGAGTCGACTAATTTAGGAGTTTTCTTCGAAGTTAGAACTCGTCTACCTTAGAGGCAAGGAACCAACAGTCTGCATATAAATTAACCAACTCCATAAAACAGTTTTGGAGAGAAAAAAAAAAGACTGAAGTCCAGAAATGTACGAACAACCAGAACTTTCCCCCAGAGTTTACAGCCGGTAAACGTGAAGAAGAAGATTTCTTTATTAGGGAACGCCGAAACAAAGAAAACATAGGGGGGGGGTTGGGGGGGGGTGGGCTTCAGCCCCCTTACACATTTTGAGGCAGGAGCTCTACCATACTCCTAACATTTTTCTAAGAAAATGCGGGCCAGAGGGCCAAAGGGCCCCTGATCTCTAACGATATATTTCTTATTGTTTACTCTCTGTCTCTCGCTTTGTGTGTGTGTGACTGTGAATGTGTGATAGTATATATGGGTGTGTGATTTAGTGTGTGTGTGTCCGTGTGACTGTGAGTGTGATTGTGTGTGCTTGTGTGTGTGTTATTATATTTGTGTGATTGTGTGTGTTTGTGTGTGTGATTATTATGACTGTGGGTAATACGCTTGTATATCTGTACATTACTCTAAATATATTCATATTCATCTCGCTTGGATGCAGTAAATCCACATTTACATAGTAAATCTATATATTTGTTCAGCTGTGATTGTGTGTGTGCATTTGTGTTCATCAGGTAAATGCACGTCTGTAATGATTTACAAAGATTTTATGTGTACATACACGCACGTCTGTAAGTTAATCAAAACTCTAGAACATTATGACTATACGTTTATAACTAATTACTGTAAATTCCTGAACTTTAAAAAAAAAATGTTAATTTAATGATGTTATTTAATTAGGACTGCTGATTGCTGTGTACTAATAGCTGTGTATATTTACTTTAGACACAGTATGGATGACTAGAGATGGCAGAATGTTTATCTTCGAATTGTTTGTTTTGTTTCAGACCGAGATTTGCTAATGTAGCGTCCACGTATGAACGGGAGTCTACGGTTTCGCTGCCTAAGCTACAAGTGATTGGTGCAGCACTGTGAGTTGTGTTTCTCATGTGGATGCACACACACACACACACACACAGACATACAAACACAATTGAAGGTTTAATTAGTAGCCTTTTAAATGACCTTGGCTTCCAGGTTGACCCAGCCTTGAGTCCTGGGAAGTAAAGGCGGCCGTTGTGATGCTGCCCACATCACCCACCAATTGCCGTTTAGTCTTGTAAATATAGATCTAGCTCTATATACCCAATTCGTCTGAGAGGCGTGGGAAAGGGTCCTTTACTCACTTTGACTAATTTGTAGCCGCTTCTACATTAATCTATTAGTCAATGGTTAGCAGACATTTTAAACATAAACTCATGATTAGCTTGCATGCTTGTTGTATCCCACCAGGACATCACACAAGCGATAAACACCCGATGACACAAAGCGCCACCATGTGGATGAGGATCACCGTGGAGAGATCCAAGAAACCCCTTTTCAGTCGTTTTGCCCAAGAGGCAAGGAACCATCAGCATACAAGTAAACCAGATCTGTAGATGGATGTGCACGCAAAACTCAAGTTTTTAATCAAGACCAAATTCTAGGCCTGGATGAACAGCCAGAACTATTCTCCGGAGTGAACGCTAAAAAGAAGGAGAAGATTGCTTTTTTATATATATAAATAATTTTAAAACTTAAATGCGTAAAGTAAATCTGACTTGTCTGAATCTTTGATTATATATATATATATATACATATATATATAATATTACAGGCGGGAGGGGGAACACACTGTGACACGTTGAAAAAGAGATAGAGGAAGATGAGGCGAGCTGATTCTTGTGAAGAAGGGGGTGTAGGAGGAGCAGATAAGAAGAAAGGGACAAAAAAGAAGAAGTGCTAGGATCAGAAAGAAAGAAGAGAAAATTATCCTTACCTTCTTGGTCGCACTGTGGCGATGGCCGCTTGGATCCTGGACACATACATAAGTTTGGGCGGACACAGTTTCCGCTACCACAGCCAGCTACACATATAGCTGCATGATAGACAAGGTATCTGGGTTAATTTGGTTGTGAGCACTAATGTGTAAAGTCGAAAAAATGTAATGGTATGGACATGAAATAAGATCTCACGCCCTCTCAAAAATAAGACTGCAGGGCTCAGTAGAGGGAAAGAAGAGAAAAGGCAGACCAAGAAGGTTACAGAACCTGACTGACTAGGCCTCAGGCATGCAACCATGAAGTCCATCGCAAAATGACTGCCGAAGATGGAGAGAGCTGATCAGACAGTCAACAGAAACTGGTGATCCAGCGACACGTAGTGTTACGAGATGATGATGATGATGATGGTGATGGTGAGCACTAATGTGTTTTCTATCAGTTATATGCATGTCTTCCCTGTATGCATTCCGGGGCCCTATTATGAGGGGGGGGGGGTGAGAAAATAGACCCACTGCCTACCCAAAAGCATGTCGTAAGAGTCGACTAATTGGAAGCTTCCTTCGAAGTCGGAGTGCATATGCCTGAGAGGCATGTGTGCAACTACATAAACACTGAGGACGATTGCGAGTGGCTTCACTCAGCTCCCTTAGCAATCTCTAGCGAGTCTCGAAAAGTCTAAGCATGATATTTTTCTGTCTCTCTTTACATCCCTCACCTCCTTTTTCCCCTTTCTTATTTTCCAGTGTGCTACGAACAATTTTTGTTCACAACATCCTATAATTGATGCGCAATTATTTTTAAGGTAATTTCAACAAGACTTAGACACTCTGTTTTCTAGTCTTTAAATGTTACAAGGTTAGTGTATATAAATATTAAATAATTACAATTACATTGTATACAAATTATCCAATAATTTATTGTGTTACGGTTCTTGTTTGCTTTCCGCCATCTTCGTATCGACATTGTTGTTGGTCTAATCTAGTTTTTACTTATATAGCCCACGCCACACGAGTTTGGGGGGGGGGGGAGGCGGGGAGAGGGCTATTTGCTAGTTAAAAAAAGGGTGGGGTGGCTATTAAGAAATGGACTCTCCCAGATAGAAGTGCCGAGCAGACAAGAACACACACAGAAAACTTCTCAAAAACAGACAGCGAACGAGAGGGACTGTACGGAGTCTGGTTGCTGCACCTGAGAGCCAGACACAGTGCCCCCTGCTTATGTACAAACAGAAGAAGAACCAAAAGAGAGCTAGAGAAGTTCTTTAGGGAACAGCTCCAGTTTTCCCGAGGTCTGTTCACACACAAGTTGGAAAATGCTGGTCTATTCTTAAATTCGCATGAGCCATCTTCAACATATTTATGTCTGCATTTTATCATTGTTATCGACAAGCCGCAATCCTTTCGCTGCTGGTATAAATGCTTCCTTTATTTCCTGTTGAACGCTTACCTGAAATCTCTTATCACTTTTATAGATTAAGGCAGCGAGATACAACCGTGCTTCATAATTTTCTAAATTTGTCTGTGCGGATCATACTTACGTAGCCTGATACAAGCTGATGGGAGATGTATTTAAGAAGTTAAATGAAGAATAATATTTTTAGCAAAGACTTCATTTCACAAAATGAAAATATGCTATGCATCGTATCTTTCTCAACTGGGAGCAAGGAGGAGAAATTAAGCAGCTATATTATCCTCATCCTGACATACGGAGTGAATCATGGACAGTTAAGCTGATTAGTGAGACATTTTATGGAAGCGGCAGAGATGCTGTGGTTTCCTAGACGAATGATGAGACCGTCATGGATGGATAAAACGAGAAAGGGAGATGTCTTAAGAGAAATAACAATGGGAACAGAACCGGTTATCTACATAAGAAGGAGACAATATATATACATCTTCGAGAACAACTGAGACGTTAAGAAAGTTAGAAGGAAAAGGTGACAGACGAAGACCGAGAACAAAGACATTTTTGTCTGACATCATGGCAGAGAAGTTTATCCGTGTCAGAAATGACAATAATACATGAGAAAAAAGAGTGTAGACAAACATGACTGCCGAAGTCACACAGCATGAATTATGAGAAGCCGGATCAGTTTAATAAATTCTTAAAAAAGAAAGTGCTTTTTCTGGTATTAAAGACTGTTATTAAAGACGAAACGGAAGTTGCACATATGCCATTATTACAATGAGACGACTATCAGTGACAACAAATCCAGTTTCCATCTCCATTTGTTCTAGTCAAGCGACTCTTTTAAGTATGTCGAACTAGAATCAAGCGTTCCTGGAGCACGTACCCTCCCATTTCGAGCATCAAAACACAAACGCACACAGGCCACACTTAAATTTCGATATATGGGTACATGCGCTGTCCAGTAAAGAGGTTGGGTAATTTTTAAAGATCTCCCTGTTTACACACCGCTACACACTAGCTCGCTTCTGACCACCTTATTCTGATATGTCGGCCTCGAGCGATCCGACTTTAATCACGGGGATATTCCGCACTCGCGCTTTTACCGCGTGTTGTATATTTCACCCTGCTAAGGCTTTTAACACTTCTAACACGTTTATATACTGGGTCTAACACAAACACCCCCCCCCCCCCAGAGAGAGACAAAACCTATATCACAGGCCGTCTCTTTCTAGGAAATAAAAACGTAAATGCCAGAAAACAACAGACTGCGACAGCCATAGCCTCGACCACGGTAGTCTAGTCCAACCAACTTATCAATGGAGATGACCTACAACCGGTGATGTGTAAATGGGGAGACCATCGTATAAATAATTAGGGACTGTACTCATTTCCAAGGCGCTAGGCATCGACCTGTCTTGAATATTTGAGTAATAATAATTCTTACAGTCATATTACTTTGGGAGCCGCCATGGTGTAGTGAAAGTCGTGGATTCGATTATGAACGGAGCCAGACGTTGCCTTCTATGTCGAGCCGGTCTTGGGCGGGTACCTCCTTCCAAGTCGGAAAGCATCTCAAAGGCAAATAAATAACAGCCTGCATACGAATAAGTAAGAACGCGAAGAAGAAGTGGGTACCAGATAAAGTCATGGGAAGTAAAGGCGACCGGCGTGATATTGACCACATCACCTACCGAGTGCAGACAGGACTCTAAAATATAGGAAAGGGTTCTTTGCCAATATATTAATGCACTATTTCGTCGGAACATATTCGTTTCATCTTCCTTCTTTGACGTCTCACTGATACGAGGTTGTAGCCCAGTGTCGTGGTTTTCTTATTTATCCTGCTCTTCTCTGGTGGCTTGAGTGATGGATATGTTCACCTTTTTGCAGGCTTCAGCTACACCATTTATCCAATCATTCTTGATCTTCCGCTCACATTCCTCCCAGATGTTCTACTGTAAAAAGTCTTATATGCAGTCTGGCTTGGTTGCATTCCCACTAGATTCTTTCATCAGTTCTAACAAACTACAGTTTATTTCTGATGACAACTTACGAATTATGCACACTTGTCCTGTGAGTTGTTACTAACCAAAGCTGTATATTATTTACATATTGGCATGTGCAGCGCTAGGTAAATATTACACTCAGTAGTTTTCCACGCGCATATACGGTTGACGCTCATACCGTTTCGAAGTCACCGCAAAGTGGTCTGCTGTCAAAACGCCTGCAGCTGAATCCAACGGATGGCAACGAATTTATTGAACTGTATTCATAACCCCTAGTCTCGGTATAATTTTAAGTACTAGACTAGAAGAAAATAATCGGTAATACATAAAATATACAGTATCACTTTAGTATGCGTACTTAATCCGTTCCTAGCCTTGACGTTAACCAAACTGCATAAACCAAATGGTATTCTGAAAATCTTTCTATAGAATTTTGGCTTAATAGCCCCTATTCCGGAAGCCATTCGTTTGCCTTGCCCCCTCAAAGTAGTTAGGTTCTTTTCACAACTTACGTTGTTCGGTTTAGGGTGCAATTTTTACAGGGATACACAGAGTCTTGTTGCTGATGCTAAGGGGTTCATGTTTATGTGACGCTTGTGGCAGAAGACTAGATTTTTTATGGATGGAGATCAAACCATACTGGTTAAAGAACAGCGCAATGAAGTTGATCCCTTGGGCTTAACATTTTTAAACTGTATATTAACTCAGTGAACAAATCCTTTTCGCACATCTTAAGTCAATTATTCAAGTGATCTGAATCGCTTGTTAATAATAAACGTCTGCTTTTGACTATAATTAAAATTCCCGGTGTGTATCTGATTGTGTACCCGATCTACCACATAATGTAAACAACATGCTATCTGTTTTTGGTGTTGTGTACGGTTTGTCTATTGTTCGCATGTTTTTGTGTAAATATTGCTGATGTTAGTACACACGTCGTATTTGCTAATAATAGTCCTAACTATAACTAGTGAAATAGATATAGTCGATTTTTTTCCTTTTCATCTTATTCTCTGTTTCGTTCTCCAACCCTTCTCTGCATCCTTCTCAACAGTTCAAGAAGCCAGCTGTGCCTTCACTATGACCACCAGCAGCATGACGATGGAGGTGATGGCGGTGACACAAGCTTTCATGTGGCTATAATCACAGGACTATTCCCACGTGTGTGTGCTGAGTGATTCTTTGAGCATGATTCGGCGGGTCGAGGCAGGCTGGTTAAGCAGACAGTGGTTTGAGTCATTGCAAAACTCTTCTGTGTGTTCAGTTATCTTCATATTCGTCCCCGGGCATGCAGGCGTTGTTGGCAATGAAAGAGCTGATAGACTGGCAGGTGCTGCATTAATTGAAGATAGCCGGCCCAAGGATTACGCAGACATTGTCATTGCCCTTAGAGAGATAAGACGTTCTGAGGATTTTGGAAGCAACGTGTCCACATCACTGCTAAGAATAATAAATAGAAGTAAACATCGGCACAGCCAAGCATGAGAAGCACACCGGACGCAGACGAAGTCTTGTTAAACAACATAGGACTGGCACTGTTAACCGCACGACGCTGATGAATATGTTGAGAGAGGAATCTGAGCGCGTATGGATGTGTCCGGAGTGCTGTAAAGATGATCTAACCCATAACTCATATCTCATCCTTCTCTTCATCACCTTCCCTCCACTCCTCATGCTCATCCCCTCCTTCCCTCCCATCATTCTTTACCTTCCCTATTATTTTTTTTTCTGTCTTGGGAAAAAATTATAACATGCCCAATAATGGGAAACCATATTAGACTGTTATTTATTAAAACGAACTACAACGGCTGGGGGAAAAAAAGAAGATAGCAGGAAAGACAACCAAGAGACCCAATGGTGGATGATATACGACGTTGGTATGGAAACATGTCATCAGTTTAGTCTACCTCAAAATAGTGGCGAGGAATGATCAGTTCGCATATTAAGGCGTTAACAGGTAGCGATTACACTGGACAGGGTATAAAGTGACAATTTACTAGTCGCTTCGCTGATGGTGATCATGTTATGGTTGAAATATTAAGGAACTGAAGTACAACAGCTTTTCAATCAATATTCAAAATGCAAGTAGAAAGATGTCTACCGGCACTTGAGAAAATTCACGTTAGCGAAAGCATCATGCAGCAGAACACTTTTTTTTTTAAACCATAGGGCGCACGGACATTTCAAGAGGGCGTCAAGACCACTTGAGATTGAGTTTATTTCTTTTTGCAAAAATCTGTTATACAAACTTTTTTTTTTTTTTTTTTTTTTGGAAAGGGGAGGGGTGGGTGTCAGGGTGATTATAAGTAAAATATTTTTAAAGCTAAAATAGCTTTTGTTTTCACGAGCATCGACCTCCACTTTTTAATCCATTTTGTTGAAAAGAAGACGAGGCGGTGGAGCCTAGAGACCTTGCCACATATTCAAGGGACGATACCTGAAAAAGTGTGAAAACCACTGCAGTACATGAACAAATGTTATAATATTACCAACTGGGCTAGTTTTACGAAGGTCTCCCCATTTACTCACTCTTGCACACTAGCTCACTTCTGATTGGTCGACCTTGAGCCTAGCTCACTTCTGATTGGTCGACCTTGAGGCACCTGCCTTGGCACAAGGTGAAGAGGGTGTTCCCCACTCCCGTTGATATAGCGTGTTCTATATTTTAGCATTACAGCGTTTTTAACACTCCAAAAACATCGACAAACTGGGTCTAACACACAACCCTCCCTCCCTAGAGGGAGCTGCAACCTATGTCACAGGCATTCTTTTATTAGGGGAAAAAAAAAGCGGTAATGCAAGACATCCAAGAAAGCAAACAAAAGAGCAGTCCAACAAAGTTATCAATGGATCATGACCTACTTTCTCTGGGGGTAAACTACGTCAAATTAAATCACCAACTCTAAAACCGTGTTTTTGTAACACAGAACATGAGTAATTAGCATTGGTAGAGGTGGATACTTTATAACAGGGTTTCTTAAACTACTAGTATTTCGGGACCAATTGTGTTCACATAAAATGTTTTTCAGACAAACTGATTGACTGACTGAAGTTGCATCCCACCAGGACATCACGCTGAGCGATAAATACCCGGTGACACAAAGTGCCACCATTCAGATGAGGATCACCGGGGACAGGTCCCATAATTCTCAATTCCAGTTTATAAATAACAATTCCAAATTGGATTCTTTTTAAGCCACCCGAAGGCCTGCTATATGAAGGAAGGTTCCTTGGCTATCTTATTTGTTTTCCCATCTTTGTGATGTGAAGTCACACCTGATATTTCTGTTCTTTGTCTTCCTAATTCCGGTGTGGTATTTGGGGTTCTGGATTCCCGTATGGTCCAGCTCTCTTAACTACTATCTCTGTGGGTTTTTGCTGACTGTTGCTGGTGCTTGGCTTAACCCGTGCTAGTCGCTACACTGGTGCCCTATTGCCAGCTGGATTATCACTGTGTGAAGCCGTGGGAAAAGGCCAAACAAAAACCACATAGCACTGTCTCCAAAAATGTTCCTTATCAGGAAAACAAGGGCCGTCACAATCTGTTGCTGTGATCAGCCCGTTTTTTTTTTTTTTTTTTTTTCATAGGGTGGAGAAGTAGTGGAGTTAAAACAGATTGAAAAAAAAAAATAACCCGTTCAACCCATAGGTTGAGTTATTATAGGGCACCCGGAAATAAAATAACCAAAAACTGCGTCCCATACTAAGACAGTTATTATGATCTTCCAGACCTCTTCAGACTCTTTATCAAAGGACAAGTACTGCATTACAGGAACAAATGTTATAATATCATCAACTGCATAACAGAGTTCTTGGTAACACACAACGCGCAAGTACTAGCACCGGTAAAGATGGATACTATATAACAGGCTTTCTTAAACTACTTGCATTTTAGGACCAATCTTGATCACATAAAATGTTTTCCAGACCCTCTCTCCCCACCCTCCTTTTTTTTCGACTCTTTATCAAAGACAGGTACTGTGACAATAGGAATAAACTCCACAGGGAAGCAAGTACAGCAGGGATCTACTAGTCATCAGTAGAAGTTATCCCTCGTCGACAAACGTTTCGGCCCACGACCTCATAGACGTTTTCAGAGAGTGGGCCCACCTGAGTTCATGAAGATGGTGCTTTCTTTTCAGATAGGGACAAGACGACTTAATGATTTGCAGATGGTACTGTGAAATAAGAAATCGTTGCGGTAGCATAATTAGAGCAGTCTGCATACCTGGACGACCGAGCGACAAGCTTACGATTGGTATACCGGACACATGTTGGACTTTTGTTAGCAGGTGGCAGAGGAACACTGGCAGACAATTCGGACACGATGGACTTTTAAGGGATGGAAAACTCTTGTCCGCTAGACACCCGGACCAGCTCACCGAGGCCCGTCCTCTACGTTGTTCCGTTGCGTCCAATGCCAGCTCGAGGCCCTCTCAGCGGCCTCGCCCAGCCGCCTAAGTGTCCGTTTCCGTTCATTACCGCGCAATCCTAGTTCTTTAACCATATTGTAGAGTGAAGTGGAGACGAGACCCCTCGCTCACACTTCGACGGCAAAGACACGTACTGTGTACGCGTTGTCTCTCCTCAGACCGGCTGCTTAATCACCGTATTTCTCGAGCTTGTACGTGTGATTTTCGTCCATACGCGACTCATACGGGACGGTCAGCTCCATCAGGCTGAGCTGCCGTTTCTCCGCAGAGTGGAGAACTATGTCAGGTCGCCGGCCGGTCTTCCGGATTAACTCAGGGTACCTTTCTTGGCCTGGCAGATCAACCGCCAGTAACCAGTCCCTCGCAGAGTCTAGCATAGATGCAGCGAATGCGTTTTTGTTGATATTACCCTTTTGAATCTGCCCAGCCTTGAGGAAACGTATGAGGACGATGGTAGGACTGGCCCTAGCGTTGGCCCGCATCCTAGCCTGGTCAACAACGGCTGCTAACTCTTTTAGCACCTTATTGTGTCGCCAGGTATATCGGCCTTGACCTAGGGCTTTCCTGCAATTAATATTTAGTTAGCGACGGCGGTAAGGCGGTAGCTGGACAACTGCCTGCTGATCCAAAGGTCTCGTGATCAAATCCGTATGGGGGTCGGATTATTTTATCTCTGACAGAGGCTCCTAGGTCTTCATAAAGTTCATATCAAATGGCGTTGACACAGTAATGTCTATCCGCAACCTTTTATCTCAGGCACTATCAGTCACCTATGACACAGATGATCCTCCACGCCATGTCAAATTGTCCAACATCTTGTCTCTCGCTCTCTATCCGCCTCTCCTCCCCTCCAACATTCCTACTGTCATGATGTACTCATATTTTCTCCGTCTCCTGGCATGACCAAATAGTATAGATTGCCTCTTTCTGATGTGGGTCGGTTTCTTTCGTGACATATTGACTGGGTTTTCCGTATCTATGCAGGCTAAAATGAGTATCAGAAAATGTCGTAGGAAGTAAGTGGGACAAAAGTTATGTTGACTACATGGTCACTGAAGTGCCTATTTATCCATAGAAATACAGTAGGATCAAGAAAGATTGCCGAGATTTCTAAAACAAGTATTTAATGTACACACACGTGTGGCGTCTTCAAATGTTCAGAAACGTTTTGATTTTGATGTTTTAGACTTACCGTGTACACTTTCATATGAGTGCTTTTTGCAGATACCCTTTCTTTAATGCGCTGTATATTCCTTTTCTTCTCAGGGCTGTTTTAAACCTCACGGTCACACGCAACCGAACTTCTGTAACGATTTTAAGACGCCAAACGTGTAGAGTGAGTAACAATTAAAGGACTCTTTTCTATGCATTCAAGCTTAGAAAAGAAGGATACTTTTGCTTTTTCAAGACCTCAAGACAACTTCAAGAATTATACATTTACAACTGGAAATATAGCGTGACTTACAGATTATTTCAAGAATTATAATCAAAGATAATCAAGAGTTATTACAGAATAAAGTTTCTAATCTATAGAATGAATCTTTCAGTAACAGTTACTTTATCATCAATGTACCATGTGCCTATTACTAATCTTTCCTCCATAGACTACTATAGGGCTAGACCTAAATTTTATAGACCATTCAGCACAGGGTGAGCAATTTGATCAGCATCACGCCGACCACCTTTACTTCCTAGTTCTTTACCTTGTACCCATTTAAGGTTGGGTCGACCTGAGAACCTAGATTATTTTTGAAAACAGAGTCCGGCTCCGTCATGAACTGAACCCACGCCCTTCGGATCTGCCGACGATCGTCTAACCGCTATACCACAGCGCCCTCCCCCCCCCCCCCACCACCACCACCACACCCAGTGTATATACATTCAATAATTTTATTTTAATAATAACAGTTTAACATGCCGGTGACATCATCAGGAGCAACCTATCAGAAATGAACATTAACTTTTACAATGTATCGACAAAAGCGCACAAATGCTCCTTACATCTGCCCCCAACACCTCGCTGAAATAAATGGTGAAGAGAAAAAAAAAAATAAGATCATTCTCGATAATCTGCACACTATTAGTCTAGCACTAAATGACCAAAGCACCGCAAACATGAAAGGTGTTTTTTTACTTGTGACTTTTGTTTACTTCGCATGTATCTGACTAAACCTAATCCTAGTACGCCTAGTTGCACCTTGTCAACTTCTAATCTGTAGCCGCCTTCTAACAAGAAATAAACAATGAAATGAATAGACACCAAGCAAAATGTAATCAAAATTTCGAGACGCAAATAATGTTTACAAAAGTGGCTTTAGTGGGATGGGTGTGGTCGAGTTTTATGAGTGAATAAATCAAATCTCAGTGTAATATACTGTTTTTGCTGTACATGTTCCCGTGTGGAGTTTCTTCTTACTCAGTGTTGGTTTCAAGTTCTAAGCTTTCGTGCAGCGAGTAATTTTTCTTCTTCTTCTTCTTCTTCTTCTTCTTCTTCTTCTTCTTCTCTTCCACCTTGTACCTCATCGAAGTGTCGGGGGGAGATGTAATGTTCGTTGATGAGCTCTGTCAAGAGCACTATTAAGACTGATGTTCATTTCTGTAAGGCTGTTCTTAATGCCATCACTCCATCTTTTCCGAGGTCTTCCACTCGCTTTATACCCGTTGTAACGTTTTAGTGTGGCTCGCTGTGGCAGATAGTACCAGGGCATTCTTGTTAGGTGTCCAAACCATTTCATTTGTTGTTCTTTGATGACCTGTAAGACTGGCTTTATTCCTAGCATTCTTCTGATTTCATGATTTTGTATTCTGTCTTTCCTTGAAACTCCTGCAGCTCTTCTAAGGCATTTCATCTCTGTTGTCACAATTTTACGTTCATTGGAGGATGTAAGTGTCCACGTTTGGCACTGATAGCATAGTATTGGCCAAAAAATAGTTCTGATAAGATTCACTTTAGTACTCTGAGGTATCTGCTTGTGTGTCAACAGGGGAGATAGTTGGCCCATTACTTGATTAGCTTTGGCACATCTGGAGCTAATTTCTCTGTCCAGTTTTCCGTCTGAAGTAAAAATTGCTCCCAAATACTTAAATTCCTCTGTTTGTCTCAGGGTGTTATTTTTTAATTTAATTTCTAAATTGTCTTTATGTCTTCCTATCATCATTGTCTCTGTCTTCGTAGTGTTTATTTTCATATTATATTCCTCCCCTTTGTTACTAATTTGATTTAGGTGGTTCTGTAGGCATTCCATATTTTCTGCTATGAGTACCTGGTCGTCGGCGAAAAGTAATTCTGTTATATCTTCTCCCTGCTTAAAGTCTGTTTCGCTACATATGGCGTCCATGTATGTTATGAAAAGAAGCGGCGATAGTACACAGCCCTGACGCACACCAGAGTTCACTATACAAGTTCTAGACAACCCTGCCTTTGATCTTGTGCAGCATTCACTACGTGTGTACAGGCTTTTGCAAATATTAATGAGATGATTGCTGATTCCTTTTTTCCCCATACATTCCCACAACATATTCCTGTTGACTCTATCGAAGGCTTTTTCT